TGTCCCCCCCCCCCCCGCCCCAAACGACTGGTCTAGCAGGGTGCCTGCAGTGGATGTCACTCGTCCCTAGGGTGCTGGTGATAAGTCAGCAGCGTCCTGGCCCAGAGCCTGTCTGGACGCACCAGGCTTCAGGGAAGAGCCACCAGGTTCCCGTCTTTTTTTTAAAGATGACCAGTAAGGGGATCTTAACCCTTGACTTGGTGTTATCAGCACGACGCTCTCCCAAGTGAGCTAACCGGCCATTCCTATACAGGGATCTGAACCTTTGACCTTGGTGTTATCAGCACCACACTCTCCCAGGTGAGCCACGGGCCAGTCCCCAGGTGCTCATCTTTTTTTTTTTTTTTGTCTTTTTTCGTGTTTGGCAACGGATCGCAACCCTCAGTGTCGCGCCCGTACCGGACCGGGACCGGCAACGGGATCACAACCCTCGGTGTTGCGTCCGCACCTCGCTCAGCCAGTGAGCGGGAACCGGTCTGTATGTGGGATCCGAACCCTCAGCGGGAGTGCCACCACACTCCCAAGCGGCGCACTGTAGCAGTGCGCCACTGGGCTGGCCCCCCAGGTGCTCATCTTGAGGAGCGTTCCATTTCACACCCTTAAAGCCTCCAGCTGGTGTGACCCCAGTGTGGCAGGCCAGACAGGGCACCTGCTGCTGCCAGGAGTGTCACAGGCGGGGTCCCCACCCTGTACACATGACATGGGCGGTGTAGAGGTGCTGATGAAAAATATGGAGGAAAGAAAAGAAAGTCGATCCCTCTCATTTCAGCTTTTGAGCCAGTGCTATATAGAAGGATGTGGATGGACATCAAGGTGGTGCAGTGCCCACCCCTTAGAGCCTGGCGTGTGCTGGAAAAATGGTAACCCAGTGTGGCCATCGAACCTCAGAGCTCCTGCAGTACCTCCACCACCTCCCGTTTCCCTGCCCACCCCATATTTCTGTTCCAAGGTCATGGTGATGCTTCCAGCCCTGCAGACCTGGCCTCTAAAGCCTCTCCCCCAGCTGGTCTCCCCAGGCTGGCTGGTATTGTGAAGGGGAAAGGGGACACAGTCACAGACCTGTCATTACCCAGCCCAAGGGTCTCCTGCCCTGGGTCAGCCCTCACCTGACTGCCCAGTAGCACCCAGTCCTGGAGAGCCACTAGCCCATCAGTCACTGGACCCACCTCAAGCAGTCATGGCCGGCCCTTGCAGAGCCCTTCTGCCTGCTGAGCAGAGCATGCTGGGGTCCTGTCCAGGGCTCAGAGGCTAAGCTGCTGCTCCTGCCTCCCCCCCCCACTCCCCCGCCCTGGCCTACCCTGCCACGCCCTTCCTGGGGACTCTTAAGGGAGTGCCTGAAGTTTCGAAGAAACCAGGCATGAACCATGGTCACAGCAACATGCACAAGTGACCTAAGCAGTTGCCGCAGGTGCTGCACTTAGGCTCATGAGCTGTGAGGGCTAAGTGTCCAGGTCCCTTAGGTCTCTGGGCGTCACGTGGTCTATGGCAGGTAATGACTGTCCTCCCCACATCCCCAACATTTATTATGACAAATTTCAAACATAGAGAAAAACTGAATGTGTAGGACAATAAATAATTATACCTACCTGCCACCTAGATTCAATAGTTAACAGCATTTTGTTGCATCTGCTTCATTAATAGTTGATTTTTTTTTTTTTGCTGAACCATTTAAAGTTAGTTGTAGACATGATGCTTCACTCCAAAATATTTCAGCATGCATCTCCTAAGAAAGACTTTCTCTAACATAACCATTATACCTTATCATATCTAAGAAAGTAATCACAATTTCATAACATCATATATTGCCAGCCCACGTGTAAATTTCCCCCAAACATTGTTTCAGCTCTTAATTTTTCCTGGTAGGGGTTTACACATTAGTTTGGTTGTAGGTCTCCTTGCCTCTTTTCATCCATTTTTGTGCTTTCAGTGACACTGGCTTTTTGAATAGACCAGCCCAGTTGTCTTGTGGAATGTCCCATGTTTGGAGTTTGTTGGCTGTCAGGCCGCCCGATAACTTATACATTCCTGCATGCTGAATGTTACCTGTGATCGTGAAGTGAGGTCTGAAGGCTCAATTCGGTTCAGGCCCAACATTTTAGAAAGGAACTTCCAGGGGCTTCGGGTATTTCCCACCCATCACAGCCAGAGGCACATGAGGTGGGAGAGGCTGGGCGTGGTCACTGAGGTACAGTGATGACCCTGAGTCTTGAGCTGGAGAGAGAAGGTCTTCCCTTGTCACTCTGAGTCCCAGTCACCTCCTGCCTCAGCCCTTCTCCCTCCTCTCGACTGTAGCTTAGCAGCCTTTGATGTTTCTTGCTTGACTCAGTTATTTCCATCAGTGGTTCCAAAACGGTGACTTTCTGGTTCTATCATTATTTCTACTTTTATTGGCTGTCATTTGTCTGCCAGAAAAAAAAGCAACTTATTCTCAACTATTGGGGATGAACTACACAATTCCTCCTAAAAAGACAGGCTAACTGTGTAATTCTTTCCCTTTTAATTGCCAGTTTTCAAGTTGAAAAAGGCTTCTGCTTTCCCTTTGTCAGAGCCCAACACTAGGCCTGTATTCCTCTCTTCCTCCTTCCGTTCTAATAAAACAAAGGACACTGCTGCTCCATCAGCAACCCGGATTGTCCTTTCCTGGTTTAAGAGTCATTGACAACTGGTGACCCCTGATTTTCTGTTTTGGTGTTTCTCAAGTCTCTTTCTTTCTGCCCATGAGTCTTCATCTGCTGGATAGGGGAGGGGAAATCAGGTGTGACCCACCCGGCACAGACCCACCCGTTCACCAGTGCCACTTCTCTGGAAATCCAGCTATTCACTGCTCCTATCCCCGAGGCCTGCTAGGCCACTCCAAAGGAGAACAAAGCAGTCCTACTGTCTTTAACAGCCACTGGTCCCAGGGTTGAGAGGAGTTGGGCTTGCCGGGGCCATTGTGCTTTCTGCAGTGGAGGAACCACTGCCATGAGACCAGCAAGGAAGGAGCTGGGGCTGCTGTGGGAAGCTTGGGGGCAGCTCACATGGGGAGAGGGGAAGGAGAACCAGGCCAGAGGCAGGGCTTCCCCTCGGCCAGGGCTGGGCATTGGGGGAGCCTGGGTCCTCATCCTACCAGCCTTCCTGCACCTCGGTTTCCTCTTCTGCCAAGCAGAGGTGACCATGACACCTAGTTCCAAGGGCTGTTGTGAAGACAGAAGCGCTCTGTGTGGTGCTGGGAAGACACTCCAGCCTCAGGAGATGCTGTCTGCCCTCCCATCTTGCCTGCCTTGCAATGTGGCAGGAGGAAGAGGAACAGGTGGATGGGTCGTGAGGTGGCGCTGCCTCCCTCTCCCTGCAGGTGTGAATGACAGAGGTGGTGCCATCCAGTGCCCTCAGCGAGGTCAGCCTGCGCCTCCTCTGCCACGATGACATAGGCACCGTGAAGCAGCTGTGTGGCGACTGGTTCCCCATTGAGTAAGTGAGGGGCACCCGAGTGCCCAGCTGCAGGTTGCGGGGTGGGGGAGAATGCAGGCACTAAAGCTGGAGGAGACCTTCTGACCCCCAGGGCTAAGTAACCATGCCACAAAGGCGAGGACGGGTGCTGGGGTGGCCAGAGCGCACAGCTTGTTGGTGGACCCTGGGCACCTGTCTGTTCTGGGACTCTTTCCTCTTCATAGCATTCCTCCTTTGAAGAGTCCCCAGAAGGGCTCTGCTCAGAAATTTTAGTTACAGTGCTGTTTATAATCGAGAAAATTTAGAAGCAACGTAAGTATCTGAACAGTAAGGAATTGGTTACAAACATTAGAGTGTGTGCTTGCAAAAATATAGCATTAGTCAGCTAGGGAAAAAAAATCTGTCAAAGAGGTATGTTTGTCGACAGAAAGTTTTTTTACAAGATACTAAACCAAAACAGACAAGAGACTGGCTGGCTAGCTCAGTTAGAGAATGGTTCCATCCCTGTACTGGCCAGCTGCCCACCCAAAAAAAGCAGACTAGGAAACAGGTATGTACCATGATCTCACTTTTACTTAAAAACATGCACAAGGTCAAAGCTTACAAGGATATGTTCCATTTAACAGTGTGTTCAGTAACTTGAGGTGGGTAGATTATTAGTGTCTACAATTTTCTGTTTTTGCTTGTCTGTATTTCCTGCATATATATATTTTCTGTAATATGCACCTCTAGCTTTTGTAATGAGAAAAATAGGCACAAACTTTTTAAAATTAAAATTAAACAAGATCCTGCATCCAGGATTTATATCAACGGCACCATCAGCTTCCCTGGTTCAGAGGCCTTTGGACTGCTAAGTGAGAAAGAGAAAACAGAAGACACAGAAGCAGGACATAGCAGTGCACGTCTGTGTTGAGAACTCAAGCATTTTGGTGTCACTGATGCCCACAAGTGCCAGGCAATGAGATTAAAAATGTCAGTAAGTGTGTTGGGATTAAGATGATAATGCTAATCACAAACGATGTCTTCCCTTCCTGTGGCATATGCCTCTTGAACATCAGGAAAGGTGTTTTAAAAGCAGCCATTCATAATGACACTAGAAAGCTAGAAGAGCCGTAAGCAGCAGATCAAACATTTGAGGAATTCTCGGAAAATAGAACATTTATAGGAGCAGATTAGCAGAGAAACATGGTAGAGAAATTGTACCCAAAACACAAATTGAAGAAAGTTGCTTCGATGCTATTTCAAGGGTAAGAACAGATTTTCTGAAGGAAACCCCGAGTTCATTGTCAACAAATAAAAAAGAGAAGAGCCTGTGTGCATCATTATGACAGTTATCAGAAAACCTGACTTGGAGCAGCAGGGCCTGCTGTATCCCCTCCACCCCCATGTGCCACAGTTTGTTTCCAGGATAAAACCCTGAGAATATTTTTTTCTGAACATGACAAGGAAAAGTTGGGGTTAGAACTAGAATTACTGTGAATATTTGGGTCAGAGGGCCAAGCGAAAAAGAGCCAATGTAGCAGGCAGGGCTTTCGCATTTCCACATGCCTTGATCTCAGGCTTGTTTACACTGTGGGCAGGAAGGCAGGGAAAGGCATGGCTCCTACATCTCTTGTCACAGCCTCCTGGCCATGTGGACTAGCAGTGGCTTTATAAATTAAAAAATAAACTGTTCTTCAGCCCAGCAATCCCACTGCCAGAAAGTAATCCAGAGAAACCAAAGCACGAGTAGCATGTACATAAGACCCTGCTGAGGGCTGGCTGGGACAAGCAGAGCTGCACCAGCGTGTGGCCTCTGAGAATCCTTAGGCACCCTGCTTGCCTGCCTCTCCTTGGAGCTCTGTGGTCCTGAGTCCACGGGTTCCCAAGAAGATAGAGTGAACTGTGATTCCACTGGGCCAGGAAGCGGTAGCACCATGTCCTAACTGCAGGACCAGCCAAGCACTCCTGGGGTTAGAGGAGGACCCAGGAGCAGGGATGGAGTGTGGACGATGCTGGGCTCTGCGGGCATACCTCATAGTGGGTGGTCAGCGGCCTCTGCAGAACTGAGCAGAGCACCTCTCCGCTTTCACCACCTCCAGCTCCTAGTCTGAGTAAAGTCATCTTAGGCTGACTGTTAGGTCTCTCCCAAGTTTACCCGTAAAACCCAAAGTTCTATGCCCTCCTGACCATGTCTTGCGGGGGCTGGGGCTAGATCTGTCTGTTAATGACGGCATCCAGGGCCTTTGCACTAAGTGTTCTCTTCCCTGCCCCTCTCAGATGGGTCTTTGCCTCATTCTTTGTGGTGAGCAGTCTCCCTAGCACCCCTGGCCACAAGTTTCCCTTGAGGTCAGGTCCCCACTCCTGCCCAGGGCGGTGTTGTAAACCCAGATGCCACTCAGCTGTGAACTTGGCTCTTTTTTTTTTTTTTTTTTTTGGCCTTTTCCGTGTCCGGCAATGGATTGCAACCCTCAGTGTTGCCCCCGTACCGGACCGGGACCAGCAACGGGATCGCAACCCTCGGTGTTGCTCCCGCGCCTGGCTCAGCCAGTGAGCGGGAACCGGTCTGTATGTGGGATCCGAACCCTCGGACGGGAGCGCCGCCGCGCTTCCCAAGCGGCGCACTATCCAGTGCGCCACCGGGCCGGCCCTGAACTTGGCTCTTTGAACTGCTTCCTGTAATCTTCAGTGTCAAGAAGTCTCACTTAATTCTTTTTTTTTTTTTTTTTTAAATGACCGGTAAGGGGATCTTAACCCTTGACTTGGTGTTGTCAGCACGTCGCTCAGCCAGTGAGCGAACCGGCCATCCCTATGTGGGATCCGAACCCGGGGCCTTGGTGTTATCAGCACCGCACTCTCCCGAGTGAGCCACGGGCCGGCCCCCTCACTTAATTCTTATAGGAAATCTTCCAAGGGTCTGTGGGCTACCCAGGGCCTAAAATCTTAACTCACCCAGCTGAGGAACCAGCCACCTTTCACTGGCCCTGTGTGAGCTGCTCTTGTGGAGACAGTTTAATTGAAGTTTTTCCCCCTTTCATATCTCGTGTCTGGTAAAAAAACATTTTCACATCAGAAATTCCCCATCCTGTCTGACCCCCTCCTTCTTTAGGAAGACAGCTGTGATAGGTAGAAGTTAAGTGATGGGCAAACTCCTCCTCAGCCTCGGAGCAGTGGGCAGGAGCAGCCTGGAGCCCTGTGTGGTTCTAGTGTATGGAGCATGATGTTAGTTGGACTTGACCTTTGGCTGGTTCACCTGTGTGTGTTCTCTTTCTCAGGTACCCAGACTCATGGTATCGTGATATCACATCCAACAAGAAGTTCTTCTCCCTTGCTGCAACCTACAGAGGCGCCATCGTGGGAATGATAGTAGCTGAAATCAAAAGCAGGACCAAGATACATAAAGAGGTACGTGCGTGCAGCGATGACCTGGCTATCATTATTGCTGGACAGGGCTGTGGCAGAATTGTGCTGCCTGCTCCATGGCCCTTTGTCTTAGGAACCATGACCCGCAGAATCCAGAGCAGAGAGTGTGACACAGCCTCAGTTGGTTTCTTTCTCTATGTGCATGACATGGTAACACCTGTGCCTTTATTCATGGGCTAAATAACAAGACCCAACAGCAGGCTCCATAACCACTGTCACTCTGAAGTAGGAATGAGCACAGTTGTGATGTGATAGGAAGGTATCTGTGATTTGCACTGGCGGCAGTGTCATAGGAACTGCTGACGCTGCTATGGTTTGTTGAAGGACATACTAGGTTTCAGTTAGAGGTGAAAATGCAAACACAATTCTTTTTTAATCCAACTTCATGGACACTTCCAAGGTCTGTCTAAGAATGCTTTGGGGATCTGTGGACCCCCCAGGTTAGCAAACCCTGCCCTAAATGTAAACCCTAACACCGTGACCACAAATATCTTGTTCCATGTGGTTGATGTTCGTCAAGATTCTGCCTAATAATTTTGGTCATCTTGGCAAATGAGTAGGGTTTACCACACAGGTATTTACTCTGAGGAGCAGGAAAAACCCACCAACAACTGGCAAATTGTTCTACTATTTGTTTGGTGGCTTGAGGTGATTTCTTTAAAAGCACAAGAAGAGGAGACATCTCTCTTTTAAGGACCCAGATCCACTGAAGTCCACCCCATTTTGCCCATAATTATATTCCAACACAGCTGGTTTCTTTTAAGAATACCTTTTCTATCCAAGCTTCCTCCCGAGATTTTTACTTCCTTTTATTAATGCTAAGGTATATCAGAAAGAAAGCAAGTGTCAATATACTTTTGATCTTTCCTCTCGCATGGGACAAGCTGTCTCACCTGACTCCCACCCTGTGATGTGTTCCCCAAAACCCTGTCTGTATATATTTTCCTGAGTGCTTGTCCAGCTGCACCCATGCATGGTGACTAGATCTGTGTGCTTATTCTGAATGTGTTTGTTTTCCCTCTAGGTAGACATGGGGCCCTTTTGCTTCTGCTCCCCACCTCTCAAGGAGGGAGTGTCAGAGCATGCACACCTTGCTAAGAGGCTGGGTGAATTCAGTACACCAGCTGAGGAGTGAACACCCTTCTCATGAGCTTAGAGTAACAAGAGGATGACCTCCTCCCTGAAACTGGCATGTCTAGGTTAACTGTGGTGCAGGGAACAGGGATGGGCCGACTCCACTCCTGGCACATGGGAGCCACTTGGCGGACAGTGGACACAGAGCAGAAATCCAAGTCCCCCAGCGTTCTCTTCTTGGGGGATAAAAACCCTACACACAGCAGATCCTTCTTGGTCTTTATGAGTTGGAAGAACATAACCTGATGGTGGTCAGATTCAGGACTCAGCCACCCAGAATTCTACCTCTGGAACCAAGAGACACACATGGAGTGGCATTCTGGGGCAGGTTGCAGCATGCCGCTCTGCCTGACATGGGCAGCAGAGGGTGGTGGACAGGCCACCCAAACTCCCCCTTCTCCGGGGCCACTGGGAGCAGCATGTGATTCTTTAACTAAACCTTTAAAACTGCACGTGTCTGGCTGGCTTGCCTCTCAGTGTGTCATTTGACATGTACCCATGAAGTACCCACACAGGGTAGTCATTTCCTTTTTACCTGCCAGAACTTTCGCTTGTTCTGGCTTTTGAGTGTCTCTTCGGTTTTTGGATGTTCTACCTACCTATCCCCAAGAGAAGATCCTTTTTTGTGTGTGTTCTTATTTTAGCAGTTTTTCACCAGAAGGTCCCAAACCTTCTCATTTCCATGGGGGAGGTGGGGGTGACTCTCCATTATCCTCTTTGTCCTACCCCTTCCTGCCCTGTGTCCCCAGGTACCGGGTCCAGGGGAGTCAGTGCGTAGACCTCACAGGCTGTGCCCTACAGTGAGCCCATGAGCCTCCAGTGTTAACCTGACTATCTCTAACTTTTTTTTAGGATGGAGATATTCTAGCCTCTAGCTTCTCTGTGGACACACAAGTTGCATATATCCTAAGTCTGGGAGTAGTGAAAGAATTCAGAAAGCACGGCATAGGTAAGGGGCAATGGAGTGTGTGGTGTTTGGCACCCCCCCACCCCCATGTCCAGCCACTTCCTCATCCTGATGATTGGAGTTCGTAGGGACCATTCAGTCTCTTCCTTCATCCTTGTCCCTGCCTTGGGTCAGACTTTGCTCATGCCTCCCCGCAACACCTCTCCCCACCCTGTCGGCCTTCAACCATCCTTTTTCCACACATGGCCAGGCCTTTCTGCAGTAGTCTCCCAAATCTGACTTAATCAGATTAGCAGCAGCTCTGGAGCATCCTCATGATGGGACAGACACCTGTCCCCACTCCTGCCACCACACACACAGCTCGTGTCTGCTTGCAAGGTGTTCTTTTTTCAGAGTAGAAAACAAATGAAGACACAGGACTTGCCACTGTTTATCAGATGCCCATGTCATCAGATCCAGTCCCACTTGGCCACGCAGCCAGGGAGTGGCAGAGTCTTAATATTTAGCCCTGTCTATTTGGTGTTTTCCTGGGCTCGTTTATACTTTTTGTTGTCTGGAAGGTTGAGTGAGTCCCACTGTGGGTCCAGCCCATGGGAGGGCACTGCCAGGCTGCATCTGTGGTCTCACCCAATGGTCTGCGCTAACCAGCTCTATTTGGCCATGAGATTTGAGGGACTTGGACAGTGAACGGTTAGGGCTGGTCTCTGATACGACAGGCAGAGAGATCATCTGCTAGGAGACTTCTGCAAAGCTCACGTTCTCCACATCACATTTCCTTTCTGACTGCTCTGCCATGCTAACCTTCACCTCTTCTCCCCAAGGTTCACTTTTACTTGAAAGTTTAAAGGATCACATATCAACCACTGCACAGGACCACTGCAAAGCCATCTACCTGCATGTCCTCACCACCAACAACACAGCGATAAACTTCTACGAAAACAGAGACTTTAAGCAGCATCACTATCTCCCCTATTACTACTCCATCCGAGGGGTCCTCAAGGATGGCTTCACCTACGTGCTCTACATCAATGGCGGCCACCCTCCCTGGACAATCTTATATCCTTTACTTCTGGGTGGTGAGGGAACGTGGCTTCCTAACCATACAGGTGGCAGAGCCAGTGAGCTAGTTCGAGCTGTGGTCACCTCCAGGTAACATTCTACAGCCAAGTTTACTGGTTCGTCCTTCCCTGACCAGATCATGTTGTGGGTAAATCTGGCACTCAGTGTTCCCCAGACCTCAGCCTGGCATGAGGGATGGATTTTAACCCTCTTGGTCCAAGAGGCATCCATCGTCCATCCATTCAACAAATATTGATTGAGAGCCTCCTGTCGTAGGTGCGCTAGGATCCACAGTGCACAGACAACAGTCCCTGCCCTCGAGCCTGCGTGCTAGCAGGGGAGGAAACAAGTGAGGTGGAATGAGTCTTTTACTTTGTTCAAACACTGGGGGTCAAACCCTTCTTACGGGGGTGCGTGACCCAGAGGTGTGGCCCTGCCACCACCTCCTTAAGTCTCTTGCCCTTGACAGGTGGGAGGAAGAACAGGAGACATGACAGTCAGAGCGTGGCCCAAAAAATACTGTGCGTGTGCGTGTGTGCGTGTGTTTTTAAATGAGCGAGTCTAGTATTTACTCATTTCATAGGGAAATGGGAAAGAGAGGTGACTCACAGCCCCACAGACCTCCTATCTCATATGAAGATGCGCCCGTGGGCCTCCAAGGGTCAGCACTGTTGACCGCCCTGCACCCCCTCACCCCCAGCCCTTGTTAACAGAGCTCTTTCCCTACTGCTGCTCTGAAGCTAGAGTCGGGGGGATTACCAGGAACACTTGCTCTTCTGCCAGCCCCCTCCCCCCAGGCCCCACTCCCTGTCTGTCACCTTTGTGCAGGATCTGCATGCCTGAGGCCTCACTTTTATTAGTTTGCTCAGAGAAGGCCCCTTCCTCTAGCAAGCCTTTCCAGCCTCTGTAGAGGCTTAGCAGTCTCTTGGCCTCCATCGAGCGTGGCGTGCTATCTGCACACAGTTCTATGGGTCATTATGCAGGCCCTGCCGACAGTGCATCCAGGCAAGCATGGGCAGGCAAGGGCAGCTCAGAGTCTTCCTTAACAGAGCCCCACGGACTACATCCAGCACTTGGGCTCTGCACTAGCCAACCTGAGCCCCTGCTCCATCCCGCACAGGCTCTACCGCCAGGCTCACAGCCTGCTCTGCAGCTTCCTGCCGTGGTCGAGCATCTCCACCAAGGGCAGCATCGAGTACAGCCGGACCATGTGATGCCCGCCCCTTGGGACCCCGCGGAGCCCGCCCTCCTGTCCATCTGACCTCTGCTGTCTTTTGCAAAGGCACTGGCGGCCACCTGCCGGGCCCGTTGGTCTGCCCACTGCAGGCCCGGTGCTACGTGGGCTCCGGAGCAGAATATATCCTACAGGTACCCCAGAGCAGATGGTGAGACATGGGGAGCCCAGCACTTCCAGCAACAAAAACAGAAGGCTCGAGCAGGCAGGTTGGAAAGCCAAGGTCTGGGGTAGTTCCTGAGCAACTCACAGAAACTTCGTGACAGAGAGCAGGTGACCAGAGATGCCCAGAGTCCCTGGCCAGAACTTTTATCTTTTTACTTCCTGAACGGCTTTTTTTTGTTGTTAAAATAATGCGATCACATGGTTCAAAATTGAAAAGGTACAAAAAGATCAAGTCCCTCCTACCCCTGTCCCCCAGTCACTTAGCTTCCTCTTGAGAGAGGCACCCAGTGCGCCTGTGTCTTGGGTGTGTTTCCAGGAATTCTACATGGACATGAGCCTTAGCACCAGCACCACCTCCCCCTCATCTCCACGGGGCATGCTCAAACCAAAGCACCTGGTAGGTGAGGGCTCTGCTCAGATGCAGCTGCCTCTGGTCACCATGAATGTTGCAGGCAGCTGGTCTCTCCTGGTTCTCAGAGCAGAGCTGGAACAGGTCCTGTGGACTCCAGAGTCTGCCCCCTTATGCACCAGCAGCACCCAGAGCAGTTGAGTGACTTGAGCCAAGCTCACACAGCGGGCTCCACCACCACCTCTGCTGTGTACCAAGTTCGGAGTCATCGGTGCCTTTATTTGTGCTGGGACTGAGGGGCACCTGGAGGCCACTGGCAGCAACTATAGGCCCGAAGAGGGGCTTGTGCTTCAGGGACGCCCATGCCCAGTTGTACAGGTCGGGCAGCAGGGGTGGGGCAGAGCATCTCCGCGGTGCCTTCACCCTCCCCTTGTTCTCTCTTCCCACAGGCTCTCCTCCACTGGTGCCCTGGGTCTCCACGCACCTGCGCCATCCCTACAGGGGCTGGCTAGGGTATGGCTGCATCCACCGGGCAGGGGCCGCTCTCACCAGGCCTCTCCTGCCTCCCCTGCTCCGCTGCCCGTCCCTTCAGATCCTTTCTGCTGGGAGGGAGGAACGCACATGTGTGGACACACTGGACCCTAGAGACAGGAACCTACAACCAGGGGGTGCAATAGAGGGAGTTCCAGGCCTTTGTGCAGAGCCAGCCCAAGGAAGCCTGCGGCAGTGGGGGTGGCCTCTGCCCTCCACAAGGGGCTGGCAAGGGGTGGGCAGCGTGGGGCAGGCATGGGGCTCTGATGCTGCATGGCTCCTGCTCCTCTGCGGCCCCCTACTGTGCGCGCCCTGTAGTCCTGGAGAAGTCATGCTGCCTGTTGGATCATAGAATGTACCGTTGACCTGACCTCACCAGGAACTGGGCTGAGACAGGCACCAGCAAGCTTCCCGGGGCCTTGTCCTCCTGTGAGCACAGCCCCAAGGCCTGGCACAAACAGGAGGAAGCTGAGTTCCATGTCGAGCTGCACAGCTGCCACAGGTCTCCGCAGGTCCTGGCCTGGGGGGTTTGGCACTCAGGGCAGTCACTTGGCTTGTTGGTCCCTCAGCCTTGGAGGGTGGGCAGAAAACTGTCAGTACCACTGGGAGCTGGGCTTGGAGCAGGCTTCCAGCAGCCCCTTCACCCTCCTGTATCCCCCAAAAGCCGCTTGCTGCCTGCCCACCCCTCCAAGGCAGGGGAGGGGGGACAGAGTCCCACCCAGCATTGCTGCAGTGTCACAAGAGCTGTCACAGAAGATCCTTGCAGCACCATGCTGTGCCAGCCTGAGGTGAGGAGGAGCCGCTTGGCCAACAGGCCTAGTGACCTGAGTCCCTCAAGATTTTCCCAGCCTGGGGCCTCTGCCTAGCCTGCGGCAAGGGGTGGGGGTCTCAGAGTGAAGGTGAGCCACCGGGCAGGACAGCATTCTCCCTGGATGGTGCTGGCCAGTGGGAGGGGCCATGTTGCCTTGACTGGGCCAAACCTCTGTGCTGAGGCCCCCACTCAGTATTCTCTGCTTGGAATCAAGGGTGATCATGTGATTTTTATTTCTGCCTACATGGAGTAAGGGAAGAGTCCTCTGGAAGGTTCTGCCTTGGACATTCACAGTTGAGCTCAGAGGCCTTGCTCTCCCACCCCCAGTCACTGAGTGTCCAGCCCAGTGTTGAACGGATTGTCGTGTTTTGTCTCATTACAAACAGATAAACAGACTTTAATGGTCACATTCTGTTTCTAGCACTGTGGGTGGGGCTGGGAGCTGTGTCATGGTCAGCCCCAAGGATAGAATGTGGACCTGATGGAGAGGTTCTAGAGAATGCAAAGGCACAGTTCGGTTTTTTATAATTGAAGGGCTCCCAGCAGCCATCAGGCAACCCCCTGGTGCTTGGCCTGGAGCTGGGGCTTAGTCTGGGTGGGAGGGCCCTGGGCTAGAGCACCCCACAATAGGAGCCTGAGGTGGATGTCAGCCAAGCGTGGGGGCAGCTGTTTCCACTGGCCTCTCGCCACCCTTGGGGAAGGGGCTGTGTTTACTGCCGCCATGAGACAGATGAGGAAAAGTGGAGTTACCCAGCAGCACAGGGTTTGTGAGTGGTGGGCCCCTGTGTGGCTGGGTGTGCTGCTGTCTCATGCCTCAGCCGGATGGAGACCTGCAGTGAGGGCCCTCCCCAGGGACAGGGCCTGAGGCACTTGCAAAGCAGGGTTAGTATGTGGGCTAGTGCCACTGCATGGAGCGGAGGCCCTGACAGCCCCGGGAGGTAGGGCAGCTGGACACCCAGAGGCCACAGGGCATGTGGAAGCAGATGGGCCTGCCGGGTTTCCCCCACAGGCACATCCTGCTGGTGAGGCACAGCCCGGCTGCTTAGGTGAGTACAGTTTTCCCCTCTGCTGCTGGGGTAACTTCAGGATGCAGGGGTGTCTCTTTGGGGTCCTTGGTCAATTGCATGACCAAGTATCAGTGTGCCCAGGTGGGGATCCGGCTGGGCCCTGAGCCCTGCCCTAGGTAGCCGGGCCCTCCAGTCTGGCCTCCCTGCTTTGGTGAAGACAGCAGGGTCGGCAGCTCCAGGACTCTCACCTAAGCCCCACCCACACTGCAGGGAGAAGCAGGATGCTCTGGCTGTTGGGATGTGGCTCTGCTCCAGGCCTACTCTGGGATGGAGGCTGAGGGGGATTTTTCAAGAGCCCATGGATGCCTACTGTCTCCCTGTGGGGTCTCCTCAGTCCCTGCACACACCACCCAGGGCTCCCGTGCAGGGCCGGGGCATGTAGGACTTCTCAGCAGTCCACACAGGGGCCTGGGGATGGGTCCCTCAGAGAGTCTCCCCAAGGGCTGAGACAACTGGTTGGCCTTCAGGGAATCGCAGGGGAGAGTGTCCTGGGGCCACCAATGCACATTTTCACGAGTGTCTGCTCATTCAGACCACGGGATGCTCTTCCATGTCAACTCCCTGTCTGCAGCACGCCATGGCTGAGTGTTGTGGGAGAGGGAGAAAAGAGCTGCCTTCCCATCACCCCGGGCAACTCATCTGGTGGTCTGCTGGGTAGCTGTGTCCTTCCCACACCTGCCTGGCCACAGCTGCTCTTGGGAGGAGCGTCCAAAAGCCTGCTGTCTCTGCTGCTCTTCCTGGGGGCTGCTGCTGCTGCCACCACCTCACCACCAGGGCCACTCCCACTTCCTTAGAACAACCCAGAAAGCGCCCGAGGACTGACATCCCCAGGATCTGCTGGGCAAAGGACCTAGGAGATGTCCAGGGGTAGAGCCAGGGTGCAGGGGAAGGGAAGGGGGCTCAGGGAAGGAGTCCGGCTGCCCTTGACCTGTCACATGTGGTCTGGCAGGAGCCCATGGGAGGGGCAGTGCTCAGCCCTAGCCTGACCTGGCTGCCCAGACTGGAAGTCAGCCAGACAGATGAAGGTCCCTGAGGCAAGCCTAGGTGTTCCCATCTCCCTGCAGGACTGAGTCCTGATGTCTGTGGCCCCCAGGGGACATTGGGCAATGTCTGGAGACACTGGGTTGTTACAAATGGGAGGAAGGTACTACTGGCATTTAGTGGGTAGCAGCTGGGGATGCTGCTTAGTATCCTGCAAGACACAGGACAGCCCCCACCACAATGAATGATCTGGCCCAAATGTCAGCAGAACCGAGGTTGAGACACCCTGGTACAGAGGAAGCCCATGCCTGGGTACCTGGAGTCTAGGCCAGCTGGGAGGAGAAGGGTTGTGCCCATCCTGCCTGGAGAGAGGGGAGCTGGGGTCCATGAAGCAGTAAACCTAACCACACTCTTGGTGGGGGGCAGCACAGGGTCCAGGCCAGCATTTTGCTTCATCCTCCTCCCTGGTGCCATCCCTAAACCAGGCCCATCTTCCTCTGTCTGCCATACCCTGCGTCTCGGCCTGTTGAGACCCTGCCCACCCTCTAGAATCAAGCCCAGCAGCACCTCATCCAGGAAGCCCTCCCAGACTCTCACTGTTCCATCAGCCTCTCGCCCTGGCTCATGACTGGTGTACCCACCCCCAAAAAGGGCTGGAGCACCACAGACCCATCCCTGGGATCAAAAACGGGTCGACACAAGGCTGATGATAGACAAGAAGGTGCAAGCCTTGGCTTTTATTGAGGTTAGAGCTGAGGACTCCCTGGCCTCTCAGGAACCCAATTCTCTTCGCCTGGCCTCCCAAGTGCAAGTGGCCGACTTGAGTTTGAGTAGGCTACAAGGGTATGGTCATGCTTCCATTTCTCCTGTCCCTCCCACGGGACCTCTTCCCGCCCCCTCACACTTTCCGAGGCTGGCCCAGGTTCTCGTGCTGGGCAGTTGCCTGGGCCATCTCGATGAGGGAGCGCTCCTGGTGGGGGCTGAGCTCAGCCCCCCTTCCTCCTGGGGCCTGCCTCCTCCTCCGCCATCCTGCATCCTCCTGTCCCCAGCCCTGGCACTCGGGATCCCTATGGCCTCTCCAGGGCCTCAGAGCGGGTTCTTTTGCACAAGGGACACAAGGCCTCCTCCCAGAGCCCCCAGGACCTCTTGGACCTGAACCTCAGGCCCTCAGGGGGGCCAGGCTGGGAGGGGACACCCTTGACTGGGTCCATGCTGGAACTGGAAGCTGAGGAAAGAGGGAAGAGGAGTCACTCGGAGGGACCCCAGGGAAGGTTGGAGGGAAGGCTGGCAGCCCACCCTGTGGTCCCAGGAACCTGAAACAAGGGAAGGGGGCAGCCCTTTTTCCCTTGTGAGAGCCCTGGGGGTGGGAGAGGAGGAGGGAGGTGAATGGTTCAAGCTGGAAGGACCCTCATCTAACCTGAACCCCTCATTTTACAAATGGGAAAACAGGCCCAGCCAGGGAAAAAAATTGTTCACGTTCCCTCAAGTGCAGAGCTGGGACTGGAACCCAAAACTCTCGGTCCCAGAGCCTCCCCTTTCCCTCACACCCCCTGGCCCCTGACAGACTCTCCAGCCCCCACCCGAGTGTGGGCTGTCACCTTTGAGACCCAAGGGGCCATGGGGTTTTATGACCTGGGGACACTCATGGTCTGAATCCAACAGGGATGGGGACAGATTCATCAAGATCTTGCTCCCTGGGGCATGACATCACTGTGGGGGTGTCCTGCTACTATGTCCCTTCCTAGTCACCACCAGGTCTCCTCCCCAAGACGTTTGGGA